GACAATCAATGTGAATTGTTTCAATTTTCACACGATCACGATTGACCAATAATAATAAAAAAATTCAATCGTTAGCGTTGCAATAAACTTTTAACAAAACCTTCAAAACGATAAAGAAAATATTTATTAGTTGTAGATTTAATTAAAAATAATATCATTACAAAATACTCGTTGTCATTTAATACAAATTATTTAATTATTTTCAATCTAGATCTATTTTCCTTTCAATATTTTCAGACAAACGTCGATGAGATTTGTATTTAGTGACTGCCCACTCAGCAGCTCTACCTACCAACCCTTTTTTGTAGGCATCCATGTATCTCCAAGACTTACGAAAGAATTTACAAATAGTTGTTACAGGAACATCATTGAGAAGTCTTGGAAGCTGTTGTTTTAAGTCTTTATAGTTATAATTACATGTCCATCTTGTTTCTTTTTTCACAAAACCCCAATAACATTCTATAAAGTTACATTCACAGTGAAATTTAGGATACCTCTCAAAAATATGCCCTGTATTAATGACTGCCTCCTTCAACATTGCCCGTTGTTCACTAAAGTCAGGTTGTTGTGACAAAATTCGTCGTGCACAGCAGCCTGATCTTTCTAGGTTATTATCATTTTTATCAGAACATTGTTTGCATATCAAGCGAACTTCATCTATTGGCCATAACTTACATTCTTCTAATATTTGTTTAATTCCCTTTGGCTTTCCTCTTAGCTTTTCTACCAGATAATTACTCGGAAATACCATTGATTGTTCATGTTTTTCATCGCTTTCATTAATGAACCAACCATTGCACATTATAGGTTGTGCTCCTCCAGGGCTTAGATTCATTTTTGTTGCAATCAATGCATTAGGTGACATTGCATTGTGATTTGTTGATTGGTCAAAACAAAATATACCAATACAACCTGGATGCAATACCTCGAATATTGGAATCGTTCTATGTATAGAGATAGTAAAAAAATAACAGATTAAACCATCATTTTTACCAATTTAATGCAGGTAACGATTAATATACAGATCACATAATCATTACTTGTTTTTAATTATGTAATAACGGTAACAAACATTTGCTATCCTTACCTCTGCACAAGTTGATCTAATATATGTTCCGACTTCCAATATCTATCTGACTGTATGGAACGAAAGATAAGTGCCTCTTTGTATTTGATATGTGGATTTGCTTGTAACTGTTTATTAGATAACCGCAATAACCCATGGCATGGGCAGAGAAAAGCTAAAACTATAATAGATCGACCCATATCTTTTGGACGCAGAATATTTTCATCTTCCATAGTCCATACTTTTTTTTGCCCATTATTTGCGTAGAAGTGATACTCGTCATGTGTCACTTGTACAAATTGTTTTTCTTCGGGCTTGAGCTTGGGTTCTACTGTAATCTCCATTGAATCACCATCAAAATACATTATGTATTCTTTATATTCAAACATTCTTTCTAACCATTTTTCTCTATATGCAACTACATCAGGTCGCTCATGTCTGTCATAATAGACACCTTTCCTCCTTTCATCATAATAGTACCCCCATTTACGCATGTAGTTTCTGCATGTTTTCTCTGACACAGTGTCTTGTTCTATATGTTTTCTTTCAATATACACTTTCAAAAATAGAGGGAAACGTACTTCAGGTTTTTGCTGACGTAGCCATGCCCGACAGTCTTCAAAGACATCCTCATCATCAAGCAACCCTCTCCATTTCGTATGTTTGCCTTGATGATCGATAAGAAGTTTCCCCATACGTATGAAATGATCGCTTCAATTTCGAATACGTCTTGAAATATAATCACCTTTGTTCTATACTGATTCAGCAACCTGTCTACTAGCATCCATCTTACCTTTCCTGTCTAACAATAACTTTATGAATTTACTTACACTTACTAGGCGCAAATAATCATTTGTAGGTATATTTAGTTTAGATGATTTTGTGAATAAGCAATGTCTATTAATTTCTTCAAAATGTGTTTGAAGGCTTGTTATAGTTTTGGTAGGTGTTATAGAATTAAGGGATGTTGGCTGTGTTATGGTATTGACGGATGGGGTTGGGTCTTGATAAGCATTGGTTGTGTTATATTACTGATGATTAAGGTTGGACTTTGTATAGTAATTGAAAACTTTCGTATCATTGTACTGAGGTATGTTCATGTTAGTAAGCTATCAAATTTTTCTTTTCTCAATAATATTTCATTATTTATTTCTTTTTCGAGTTCTTTTTTTTTTTTTTCCTCCAGATTGTTGTTCTTGAATTTTTAGCATATTTTTGTCTTTTGTTGCTTGTCTCAGATTCTTGTAACTGTTCTTCTTGTATAACGGCTGCTGCTTCTTGCTCATCAAATCCTTCCAATCATATATCAGTTACCACTTCTTGTACATCAAATTCTTTTCTCTATTCCTCCCTTATACCGATCACCACTTCTTGTAGATTAGTAGATAAATTTTTTTGAGAAATGAAATGACCTTGTTCTCTAACTAAATTATGTGCTTCTCTTTTTCTCTTTTTGCAAGGAGCCATTGCGATTAAGAAAGTTTTTAAGAATTCTTAGAAGTTTTTTTAACAATTCATAGTAATGTGTTATGATTTATTTTTAATTTAATTTAATTTATTTTTTTTGAATAAAAATATTATTTGCAAAAGATGACTATAGAATGAAAATTGATTATTTTTTCATATCGAATGAAGGTTTTTATATGTTTTTATAATAATAAATAAATGAGCGAAACTATTCGCATAACAATTATATTATAACAATTAAACTTTTATAAGTTATTTGGATCATTAGTGTCATCTAAACGAAGAGCACTGTTTACTCTTACGTATAATGATATTTTACTACATAGTAGTTTGCTATAAATAATCACATAGTGACCTCTTCATAGATTAAATTATTAGAACAATTAATTGCATCGTTTCGAACATTAAATTTTATTATTGTTTAGTTTGCCCATTAAAAACTAATTTGTAATTGTGATGAAATATATTATTAATTATTGGGTCATAGATACATTTATTAAAAAATGCTAATTTATCTAATTACATATATCATTTGGATCTACTCATTTATCGTAATTGACTTTTGTCTGAACAAATTCGCTAAACTATATTTATGGGCTTTCTATTTCTACATACTATAAATTCTTAATCACGATGACTGTAATTGCAACAGGCCATTTTCAACAAAAATTATAACTCATCTGGTAGGCCATGTTTAAGGTTAAATAAGGCAGGATGAAAAACAAGAAAACCTCAATCCTAATTAGAAATTCTAAAAATTATATAAACTATTATTACTTTCAGGCTAGTGTTCTGCGAACAGGTACCCAAATTGGAACCGCAGGGGATGTTTAATATTCTGCCGTCAAGCAATATTGAGTAATAATAGAATAAGATTCGATTATTATCTAATTGTTTGACTACGAAATACTAAAAATCCTAATCGTGTGGAACACTACTCAAAGTTATATTTTAAGAGCTATCTGGGTAAGGACGGAACGAAAAAAACAGACAAAAAAGTTGGGCTAACAGAAAAATAATTTTAAAAAGAAAAAAAACTCAGATTCATTTAAATATTTTATTAAAGATCACAAATTAGTTCATAACTTACCAATATATCAGTATACTGAGAATTTGTTTCGCTTATTTTGTTGAAATAAATTTCTGGCCAATCAAATATGCTTGTTTAATAAAAATTATTCATGTGAATGTTTCAATTTTGAAAAGCATGATGATTTTTAATTCCCATACTTCTTTAATAAAAAAAGTAAACCGATAACTTTGTAGAAAATTACTCGAACTATAAAGTTATCGGTTTAATTTTTTAAAAATTCTTTTGTGCTCCAGAGAGAAACAATTTAAACATGTTCGATTTTTGTTCATATGATTGTTGGGTATAACCTACCGGCACCATACGTACTTTATTTTTTCAGCACGTATCGGTTTTTACTAATTTACCTAGGTTTCTGATTGGCTAGATTTGTTTACATGTTATCTTCTTTTTAAAATATGACGCCTTGGCTAGAGTTAGCAATAAAGTTAGAAGGTGCTCTTATACTAAAATTTTGCAAGGAATTTTTTCATTAGTACACAAAAGATGGTTTCTTAGGCGAAATTTTGAGATTAATGTGATTTTTCAAAAATCAAGTGATTGTTTTTAATTTTCATATTATACTTGATCCTGTCCTCTGATTGGCCAGAATCGTGAAACCTGGAGTAAAATTAGTAAATGCCACGTATCGCATTTTGGTAAAAAAAAAGTGATGCTAGATGTTGGATCAACATGGTTTGTTATTATAACGAAGTGCATACCGGTTATTATAAATTTGTAAATCAGGCTTAAATATAGCATGTAAAATTATTATCGTAACCCGTATAAGTATACCTACTCAACAGGTTATTAATGATCTAATCCCAAATATAAAAAATATGCAATTGTTGGCGTGTTTAATAATTGTGGTACCGAATAGTAAATATGTAATTGTTAGCGTAGAAATTATCGTGTTAAATTATTATGACGCCAAATAAAGCGATATGCGATTGTTTTATAAAGTGTTAAATTATTGTAGCAATACACGATTAACTTAAATTCAATACTGAATATAATATACTATAATTTGTTGTATAAATTCTCCAATAAAGAGGGCTTTCTTTTAATATATAATCAAACTTATTTGTTTTTCAACCCACTAATCTTATACTTCGTGCAATACAAATATTTACTTCTTTTTTTTTTTTACCAAAGACAGCAATTGCAATGCAAACATTAAATAATAAATGAAAGGAAGAGGTGATTGTATTACAGGATGAATCTACTAAAACCAAATTGTCGAGACAGGCCCGTACACATAAAAATAAAAAACTTAGACGCAAGCAGAAACAAACCAAGATGCTTCGTAGCCTGAATGATGATATTCTTCTAGTAATCGATGATATTATCTTTGATCCATCTCGGGTATGGTGAGGGGGACTCATTCATTCTACAAAAATTTGCAATCTTTTGGAAAAAAAAAATGCACATGTCCATTATTTTATTTTACTAGTATAGAATCTAATCTGCTACCCGAAAATTGTCTGCTATTGACAATATTTATTACTTGAAAAGGAAATGGAGAAGTGTTCCTCTCTGTTCTTCTGATAGAATATCTTCTAAAAAAATTAGGATCCAACATAATATATCGGCTAAAGACTTACTTATTGAAACATTACTGAGAGAGGCATCTACTAGCAATAATTCTATTGACTTACCCGAAATTCTTCCAGATTTTTTATCTCTAGTTTATAGTGATATTATTAAGGAAAAGAATGATGTTAAAGAACCATTGGATGTTGATACTAATAACAAACAATTGTGGATTGCTTTCGGGCGATGGTTAGGTTTAAAGAGATCAAAAGGACCACTAAGAAGGAAGCATGTGCAAGAACACCTCAGACTATTATGGAAAAAACTCCAGCATGCTTATGTTGAGTTGCAAAATTTCTTCAATATGGCTACTATACGTAAAAGTCAAAAAGAAAAAACACAGCTTATCGTATCAGCACGAAATAATAACAAATCGCTAGATAAGCTAGTTTAACTTGAACATATTTTTGAACCTAAGTATATTACAGACTTGGGTTACCAAATATTAATTCACTTGGAGCAACTCAATAATCCAAATGCTGTTACAACCGCATCTAATATTGTAAATTGGTACTATTTCCATTTATTAGAAAATCTATCATACCGAAGTAAAGAATTTTGGACCAATTTTATTGAGCATTTTGGAGCTTATACAAGAACCAATTTACTTCTCTTTACAAGCTCTAATACTGCGAGTATACATAATATTAATCATTATGAATGCGTCAGTAAATTACTTCGGGGTCTTAGAAAATTATCAGAAAGTATCAATCGGTTTCTTCAAGAATATTATGTGGATTTATATACAAAATTGAGTAAATTATAATGGAGCCCATTCGCTCCAAGAGAATTTGGAGTTTTCCTAATGATAGCCATCAACTTTAATACTATTAGTGACTATCATTAGGATGATCATGATGAACCAAATAGTCTGTATATTTTAGTCACACTGGGAGATTTCGAAGGAGGAGAATTATGTTTTTCTCAATTTCAAGTAGTTGTACATCTTCGGTCAGGACAAGTAGTAGCATTTGCATCCCGTCTATTGCTCCATAGTAATTTTACAGTTACAAAAGACATCTGGCATAGTATTGTGTACTTTGTGCATGATATATTCTTTTATAATTTATGGGATTTTGATCCTACTTATCTTGAGGCTAGAATTGAGAAAGCTAATGGACCAATAGTTTCTGAGCAGAACCTTAATAATGCTCAAGATTTAAACTATCGTAACCAACTTTTCAAACCAAAAGCAAGCCAAATACAAATCCTTTTCACTGTCTTTGATCGTAGACAAGGATATATAAGTATGAATTATTTTACGGTTAATATGTAAAAATATAGTTATTATCATTATTAATAATCAAATATTTTCATAGATTTAGCATGTGCTTAATGAGGTTTAAGAGCAGAAGATCCGCTTTCAGATTTATAGCATATTATTTATATATTTTGCTTCGACTACTATATACTCATATGATTATATAAAACTTGTAAATCAATCAAAAATTTGGAAAATTATTGTCGAAACATTATTTGGTTATATTGTACAAATGTTTATTATTGGGTAGATAAGCCTTTTAAAAACATGAAGCATAATTTATACACCATAATACTTGTTAAAAAAATACTACATATTTGTTTTTATCCCTCTACTCAGCCTAATATTAATGCGAGCCATATAACAATAGTTTAGATTGCCCTTATATAAACCTTTTTTTATT